TGGAGAGGGGGCGGGGCTTATATCCATGTAAATACTATGGTGGAAACCAACTACGACAAAATGAACATATTTTACCGTGATTTAATTGTAATACACGTTTCAAAATGATGCCGAAGTAACTAAATACTGATACCGGTTAGTAAAAAAACATGAATGAATGTTTTGACAAGTCTGCAGATAAGACGGCAAGCGAAAAACCTTTTAAAATGCGTGTTTACTGAATGGATCAATCAGGCTAAACTAACCTGTAGCTGCTCCGTCCACACTCACAACAACGTCCTAAAGACAGAATTAAAGCAGCAATTGTATTCGCCATGACAGTCTGTGGTTTGTACATGTTTAACTTTTGTCCAGTTTCTGACCAGAGCTGTGAGGAGTTGATTAAAGAGACTCTCGTACACACACACACACACATGCGCGCGCACACACACTTCACTGTGCACTGCTGAATGATGTATGTGCAGAGTTTGACCCTTGAAGGCTGTTTCTTCTGCTCTGAAATGGAATATATTTGTTACATATTAATAGAATTTTTGATTTGATTTTGGATTTGTGAATGGGAGAAGTAGTATATGGAAAACATACCAAACACTAATTATTCAAAGTAAAGTATTTTATTTTATATACGGTAATACTAAGGAGGCATAGGCCTATATGATGATATCATGTTTGACATTATTGATATTAAAAAAGTGATTTGTTTTCCATGTCATTCGTGTGTTTTTCTTATAAAAAAGTGAAGTTATTTATTTGTAAGCTCCAAATCCAAATGTTTCCCTCAATGGCCTTTGTGCCCTGGCATGTGGCCTTTGCGCCCTGAAAAAATGTGTGACACCAAAGGCCAAATGGCCTTGCCCCTAAAATGACGAAATTCCAAGCCTGACACATACTCTAGAAAATAGAAATAAAATACCATACAAGAGGATTGTAGTCCGGTAAGTTGGTCTCTATGAGTCTCTTGGATTTTTTTTTACGGTGTTGAGATCATAGGACTTGGTGGGAGAGAAGAAAAACACATAGCCATTATATTGTTGTTTGATATTTCTCTTATTTTCAATTTTTTATGTGAAGTAACTGTAAGGGATAATCATTTTTTTTTAAAAAGAGTATTTTTTAGAATAAAGTGTTTTTATTCAAGTGGGCTTCTCTCTTTCTCTGTCTATGAATTATATAACATTTGTAGATCAAAATCAGTCTGGGGAGTTCATCTGGTGTGGTTTCGGGTCACTTTGCTGCCATTTCTTATGTAAGACTTGCGTGTATTAATTTTCCGTCTCGATGGATCATTGACAAAAGTCTTCCCACTCAGTTAGTTTGCGTGAGTGCCCATTCATTCAGGCAGGCCTATTGTTAAATGTAAACTTCTATCTGGTAGTAAATTAGTAAGACTTGTGGAGGAAACAGGCATCGCATGGGCACAACTTTCCACTCAGTGGGGTTGGGGGGGAGTGAAGGGTTCAAGACCAATTGAATGCAGGACAAGGGGGACAAGGGCACTTTTTCAGTTCAGTAGTGCACAAAAAAACCTTAAATACCATAATTGGGTTTTGTTTTAATTACAGTTTTGCATCAATGACTTAGTTACAATTGTATTCTAGTAACTTACTTTACTATTAACATAAATGCAGTTTGGGGTATACAAACATTATTTATGCAGCCAAACCTTGTTTTTATTTTATTTCTTAATATTTTTTAGTGTTTATTTTAGTAACAGAATTTTTTCAATAACTTAGTTTCAATTTATTACATTACAGAAAAAAAATAATGGTGGTTACTCAAGTGCTGCACTTAAGCACAATTTTGAGGTACTTATACTTTACATGTATTTAATACCTTCAATTAAATTAGAGATCTGGATGAATGATGTGAAATATAATTAAGTCTTAAATCAGACTTTAGTTACCCGTGGAGTAAATTCACAAGCTACCCTGCAGTATACAAAGTCATTCAAACTAGCTGCACTCAAGTTTTTCCTTGTACGATGTGAGGGTAAGGACAGAGGGTTTCGTTTTCTCATACTGATATTCTGTACAAACTGTGCTGTTGTATTTGTTGTAAAAGTGTCTTGTAAAGTATTTTTATTATATGTACAGCACTTTGGCTCGACCAAAAATCGTTTTAAAAATGTGCTATATAAATAAAACTTGATTTGAAGTACAATATCTCAATACTTCTACTTTTACTCAAGTACAATATCTTAGTACTTCTACTTTTACTCAAGTTCAAGATCTGAGCACTTCTACTTTTACTCAAGTACAATATCTTAGTACTTCTACTTTTACTCAAGTACAGGATCTGAGCACTTCTACTTTACTCAAGTACAAGATCTAAGCACTTCTACTTTTACTCAAGTACAAGATCTGAGTACTTCTACTTTTACTCAAGAACAAGATCTGAGTACTTCTACTTTTACTCAAGTACAAGATCTCAGTACTTCTTCCAACTCCAAGTAATTTTTGAGAGGGGCCACAGGGGGTCCAAGCATAGTATAAAACGGGCCTTGTCCCCTGTTCCCCCCCCCCCCCCCCGAGAACCGCCCATGTCTCAGAGCGTGTCCCGCCTTGTAGCTTCCTGGCCCCCCGCAGCGGACGGGTGTATTTTGAATGTATTTTGGATGTATTATGGATGCTCATCCAAGCAGCCGGGCGGTGGGGGCCATAGGACGGGGTGCAAAGTGACGGGTGAAGACTGGGCCACACTGGAAGGAGGGATGTACGGAGGGAGGGTTCAACCATTAACCCGCATTAACCAGCTGTGCGGTACATAAGGCGTGTGCACCGGCGTCCACGCCTCAGCCAGAGCGCATAACCACAAGCTGGAGGATGCATGCACACACTGCGAGTATCTGATCATCACTGCACTGAAAGGTAAGCAACTTTTTATAATACCGAGACCACCTGCTGGACATTTCAGCTGCAGGTCCTCACAGCTTTATCCAAAGGAATGTGCAATTTTGGAGAGCTCCAAATCGCAGCTTGTGAAATTATTTACGCGTTTATGTAGTGGGGATGAAGAATGGGAAATGGTAGATTCATTTTTAATGAGTTTTACACTCGGTTTTGCAGCAGATCGCCCCCCTACCCCCCCCTGTTAAATGAGCAGTGGAAGAGAATAGGAGGCTCGGCTATTCATTGCTGATCAGGGGAGCACTAATTTACGCCTTTGCCATGTTGGGTTCGGGTGGTGTAGGTCCTGACTACTAAACAGGATTGTTTCAAAGCCAAAGACTGTGATGTCGCAACAAGACAGCAGCAAAACGAGGGGAAACAGGGCCTTCAAAATAAGAGTATGGGTGTATTCGGTTGTGTGCTTAAGTTGTGTGTTATTAGATAATTTACTTTACGGTATTATATCATGTAATGTAGCTCCAGAGATCACCAGACTATTATTCTCTAAGCAGGCTTTTTGTCGTTAATTGCTGACGTAAAATGTGGGAGTTTGTGTGGTTACCTGTCTATCCATTGAGGAAAAACATGTGAGTCAGATTTAGCACCACTATGTGAGACTCCTTCTTTGACTAATAAAATAGACCCAGAGCTACTTTTAAAGTTGCCAGTCTGCCGAGATCTACCAGTCCAAATAGAGAGGCGTAGTTACTGACAGCTTACTACCAGGTAAATACACACTTCTACTTGTATAAAACTGACCTTTGTACGATTAATACTTCATAAAATACTGTAGATCCTTTATATTACCTCTTTCTAATCTACACACATACAAGTATTTAACTGAAGTTACACAACAGTGTTGTTGAAACAGAGTTGGAGTTTATTCACACGTCACTACAGTGGGTAATGTTTTCAAGAAACATTGAACAGTGCTGCCACATATGACACAGGAAAAAAGAAAAGACTCTGAACCCTTTCTTTGCCATTATATAAAATAGTGTTGCTACAAAAGTATAAATTAGGCTTACTAATAAGACAACTCAGATCTGAAGCTCCACAGGAATCTGCTGCCAAAGTGCAATAAAAAAGACAACATTAATAGAATCAAACCCTTTGTTTGTTGCATTTTAGTAGATTATAAAAATAAATGCCTTTAAAATAGGATGCAAGCAACACTAGCTTCTTAACCTGAATTGATAATAGACTATAATCAATTTAAACAGAACAGATCTTAATGTTTGCATTCTTATACCATTGTGAACAATAATTATAATGAATAAGTTCAAACAAACTAAAACTTACAGCTGATTAATAACGGTATCTAACTTGAGTTTTTATCATATCAAAAACCTGTTGAAATGCTACTGTTATTTTTACTGTCCCCCAAAAGCGCGTCGGCAGCCTCCAGGAATGCTTCTTTCACAACTTCGCCGTCTTTGAAAGACTTAATTCTTCAGAAAAGGTGGAATCTGGGTGATACAAATCTGCTGAAATATATTCCTTCTAAAAACATCTAAAACCTATTAAATAACAATAACTAACTCTTAACTTGATGAATCCACAACAAGTAGAGCTTAAAGTATTTTTATTTTTTAAATTATTTTTATACTTTATACAAAGCTTATTTGTATAGGAATGTCACTGGTGTTACGTGTTACCAGGAAGAAGAGTAACACCAGTGACAATTTGGAGAAAACACTACCATTTTAACAAAATGGCTGCCATGTGTCAGACCAAATGTGGCTTCAGTCAATATCAAAATCGTTTAACTCTTCAATACAATACATTTTCACATTCAAATGTTCACCCCTAGGGCTATGCAATGAGTAACACTAATGACAGACTTGAAAGACGCATGTAAAATTTGAAGATAAAATGACACCTTTAACAAACAAAGTAAGAAGTATCTGACTTTCCTTATGTCAACACATATCATAAATAAATAAAATAAAGTAAAAAATGCATAGAATACAACATAAAGGAAGAAGTCAGAATACCAGTTTGATTGACTAAACCTCTTATTCCACTGCTGCTTTTTTATTTTATTTTGAAGAACCAGAAGTGGTGTGTTATCGTTGACAGCGATTGACTGCTGGTCTTTCCTCACATCTGCTGTGATGTCCGTCAGCTGAGAGTGAGGCTCCTTATGTTCGGATTAATAGTGTCTGTTTCAAGGGATTAGACAACAAGTGTAGTTAACAAGTGAATGTGGTACTTCAGAAGTGTTCATCTTTCTCTATTAAGTCTTAATATTTGTTATCAAAGTATTTGATTTTGGTGAGTTTTGGGTTTTTCTATTTATATAACATTCCTGTTACATTAATTTGTTTGTTATACAGTGTGCACATTGGTCATGGTTTTCTATTCTGTGATATTCAAATTGCTCTTAACTTGTATTTTTTAAGGTTGAAGTTTTATAAACCCTGTATTAAGGCTGTATGTTGTTGTTTTATGATGGTATTTTTAATTATTTTAATCAATAGTCAGGAAACAGCTTTTGATATTCCTTAGCAAATCTGGAATGTGGCTGAAGATGTTTACATTCATTTACTGAATAATTAATGACTGTGTTTCTTTTTTCCCAGGTGACTGTCCGCTCTCGAGGAGAGGTGCTTCTCTGCAGACGGTAATTCAATCTTCATACTGCAGACCTTTAAATATCTCTCTACCAGCAGCCACGTGGTGTAAGGTGATACATTCACCCACTAGTCTGGTGATCAGTGGGCGAGCCGGACCCATCATTGCCACTTCAGACCCTTAATCACTTTCTTTAGCTTATACTGAACTCTAAAAGGACTGTTTACGAGTGACTGCAGGGGATTTCTGTTGCGAGCCCCCACGTCTATTGTTTTCCTTCCTCTTCTGTTTTAGTCCAGTACGCTCTCTTCTTCTTTTTGGACTGTGCACCCTGAGGACCTTGCAGTGAATGGAGAACATACTGGTTCTGCTCCCGAAGCACCGACAGGAACACGGGCTCTGCAGGCGCACGACTGCATGTGCCTTGCTGCAGGTTTTCTCCTGGTCTTTAGTAGCGACCCCAACTCACTTTAAGCCTCTTTAATGGGATAAATCAATTGGACTGATCAGGTTCGAGACCAGATCAGGTGGCCGATTCCATTTGGACTCCCCCCCAAAGAACTGACAGGCCGAGGCAAGCTGACCTTTTTTTCTTGTCAAGCCCAGTGTTTTCAAAAGGCTTCCGCATGGTACTTTGGTCGAAAGAACAAGACAAACTCCCCGACATCGACATGTCCTCCGGGGACATTGAGGGGACGAAGGAGGGCGGCCCCCTGACCCCGGCCCTAGTCAACTCCAACTGCTCGGTCCCCCCAGTGATCCCCTCAAAGGGCCCCGAGGAGGAGAGCCTGGGGAGCGGGAACAACCTCGAGCTCACAGAGGTCCCGAACGGAGACGCCGCGGACGATGTGGAGAGGTCGGAGATCGTAGTGGCGACGGACTGCCGGGCGAACGCCAAAGGTCAGCGAGAGGAAGACGCTCTGCTGGAGAACGGCAGCCAGAGCAACGAGAGCGACGAAACGAGCACCGACCAGAGCCCAGAACCACCGGCGCCCCTCAAAGAGACCTCCTTCACCATCGGCCTGCAGGTGGTCTTCCCCTTCCTGCTGGCCGGGTTCGGGACCGTAGCAGCCGGGATGGTGCTAGACCTCGTCCAGGTGAGAGATCCAGACCTATTCTTCTATTTATTTATATATATATATAATTTATTTGTGACATTGTCAAACACAGAAAGCATACATACATAGACCCTTACATGTATAATAAAGGGAGTAGAAGAGACCATTCTACCAGGGTCAACAATACCACAAAAAACCCAGACCGTAACCACAAAAAACAACATTGAAGTACAATAAAATAAATAATAATAATAACAACAAAAGAAACATATACAAGACATTCTAAGGCATTAAGCTACTCGACATACTGTGTGCTACTAGTGCGAGGAAATCTAGACCTATTCTAAGATAAGATGCACCTTTAGTAATCCCTGTGGGGAAATTCAGTAGTTAAACAGCAACAGGGTGAGAATGAAAAACAGGACAGCACAGATTCACACAGATTAGAGATACTAATAACTGGTAACTATACGGCGCACAGTGAGAATGCGGCATTTATTCAGAAGAGAGAAACTGGTCCATCCAACTGGAGAATATTGTCCAAGCTTAAAGAGCTAGTGATGCTAATGGCAATATGTGACTGTGAGAAAGTGGAAGTGGGGAACATCTTTATAAAGTAAGTCCTTGGTATTGGTTGTCAGTCTGAAAAGCATATAAGATGATTGTAAATTTATTAATCCATGGATCACTGATGCTTTTCAATTTAACACGTCTTCATAAGGTGATACAAAGTGTTGAGGACATGTGCTCAAAATAAAACATGTGTCACATTGCACACAAATGCGGCCCAATTGACACCTACGATAGATAGAATATATGAATTGGCATATCTAAAAAGACAGATATCAAATGTTAAATGAAAAAATCATATTCTATAATATTCACATATTATGGCAACAAAAGAGAGTAATAAGGACAAAAGCAATGAAAAAGTGTACATAGACAATACATCATTTCATTTATTGATTAAAACTAGGGCCGGGACTTTAACGCGTTAATTAAGATTAATTAATTACACAAAAATTAACGCGTTAAAAAAATTAACGCATTTTAATCGCACTTATTTTTGCACCGCGGAACGTTTCTCACTGGATGAGTTTCAGGCGTACCGATTATACTGGAGCACCAACTAACGTTCATGACTTCAGACAACAACAAACCACAGTGAACAACAGTGGGAAATGTTGTTTTAAAAAACGGACGGATGGAAGCGTCGATAAGAGCACGGTTGTGTGCAAATTATGCAAAAAGGAATTCGCATATCACCGCAGCACATCAAGCCTCAAGTATCACCTCAATGCAAAAACATATAGCAGCTAGCGTGGAAGCTAGCGTGGACGTTAGCCTCTTTTATCGCGTTCACACCAAAAAGAGCCGGTACTAAAATTAGTTCATGAGAACCTTTTTACCCCCACGAAAGTCCCTGCTAGAGAGCAGAGAGCTGCTAGAGAGCAGGGACTTTCGTACGGCTCTCTTGTGAGAAAAGAGCTATATTTCTGATTGGCTGGGCGGATTGCAAACCCCCCCCCCGTAAAACTCCCAAAAAGTTTTGTGAAGCCGCCATTTTATTATCCTTGCATTAGCATTATTAGCATTATTAACATTAGCCCAGCGCAGAAACGCAGAGAGACTAACTTATGGCAACACAAAATAAAACATGGGAGCGGTGGAGATGAGGAGGTGTCGGCGTTCTGGCGATTTACTCGGAAGGCTTCAGTAGAAGCTGCTGGGACTCCCAGCAGCTTCTACTGAAGCCAGTCCCCAACTCCGGGGACTTCCGGCCGGGGACTTTGGGCGGCAGTATACGCCGTGAAGTGGTTTGCGGCCTGCCAGTAAACCCAAAGCAGAAGAAGAAGAAGTGACGTCAGCGGCTTCATTTGCCTAATCCACCCCCAGGTTCAAAGAGTTCTCATGAACTAAATTCTCATGAACCTTTGTGGGAAAAGTACTGCGGTGTGAATGCGCCTAATGGTATACTAAAATCCATGTGAAAAAAAATTGCTTCTCACTGTTCTTAGGTCAAATATGTATATGCGATTAAAAATGCGATTAATTTCGATTAATTAATTACAAAGCCTCTAATTAATTAGATTAATTTTTTTAATCGAGTCCCGGCCCTAATTAAAACATTTTCAAATAAAGGATTTTCATTTACAATTAGATTAGCCTTGTTTGCTAGGACTGCCAACCACTGCCATATCCTTCAAAATAATAATAATGGGTTCCATTTATAAAGCACCTCATATTTGACTCCAAATCCCGATGTTATTACATCACCACAGTTTCCTCACCCAGTAAAGCACTTTTTTTCATACAGCATCACAGGATCCTTGTTCACGACGTGAACTCCACTTCAGTCCCATTCTCATGATCCAGTTACCTGGGATAGACATCATGAGCTATATTTAAGTTTGTATAATGCGTCATTGTAATGTTTCTGATGTTTCCAGGCGTGCTTGCAGAGTCATACTATGGGTTGACCCCCTGGAGCATTTCAGTTAACTGGTTTAAAGGTGGGGTACTGTAGGTACGTTTCAGAAACCGGCTCAAGTGCACTACAATTTGAAAGTACACAGCCGAAAAGAATCCGCCCCTTCCTTCAGACGTCCTTACAGAGCACCTCCTCCAACACACATGAACGCGCACATGACGTCAGCAGGTGAAAGTGGTCGCCTGTTGCTGGCGAGTCATTGAAGTACTGCTGCAATGAACGCCCAATGACGGCACGCCCAATGAGGGCACGAGATACATTTGTGAGTGCACGAGATGGAAGGCTGACAGACAAGGCGGCAATCCAATCCGTTTAGCGCGGCTAAATACTTTTTACAGTACCACGGCTTCCACAGATGACATTTTTTAATGGATTTTTTGTCAAAGCACTTTAGATATTCATTGCTATCGGGATGTTAAGAGAATTCCATGGAATATAACAAAATGTGTACCTCGAGCCGGTTTCTCAAACTTACCTACCCCACCTTTAACCTCTTAAGCCCCAAGCCTGTTTTTCAGGTTTCAGGCTCGAAAATGACATGCCCAAAACAAAGGACTATAACTTAACTTCTAAAAGGGTTATATGAATAATTTATTTTATCAAAGCAAGGTCACATCTGTGAGTTGGATGTAGAAGTGTCAGAATCAATAAAGATGTTTCAGTGTCAGAGTAAATCCAGATGGAACATAGTCAAAAAGTGTACATTTTTGTTTCCGCCCAAATAAAACCCATTACTTATAGTGAAAACCACCCTTGAATGATGGGTTAGTAGCCTAAAAGCTTTAGGAATCCAAAGTATAACATATAATAAGTACCCTGTATCAAGATTGAGGCAAAACAAGTGAGAATTGACCTTTTTAGAGAGATTTAGCAAAAAAAAGTCCAAGCGGACTAAGGTTTGGGCACATTTGGGTACATTTGGTTCCATCAGTGCCATTTAACCTTTTTCAGGTACCAGACTGTAAAAATCATTGTACAACATTTAATTATCACTATAGGTATTCATTCCATAAAAAAAAAAAAAATTATTGTTAAAGGATGAATTATAAATGATTGTTTTTGTGAGTTATGAGCAGACATAGCAATTGCCCGTTTTTGACATGGGGTCATTTAGAGGCTTCTTGTGAGACTTCTTTTTCGAAAAAAATAATTGTTTTCGTATCGTCAGTAACCCAAGTTTCCTCCGGTCAGATGGGTATGGAATATTAATAGTTTCATGAATGACACTTCAGATATAGCACTGTTGCTACATATATAGCATTTTCGGACCCGAGCTCGGGTCCGTGGGGCTTAAGAGGTTAACTGGCCTCGCTCACCTTGGCATGTGTCTGTCATCGTGCTGTCTGGTGGCATCTGTTTGGGGACGGGTGTGGCATCACATTACATTATATGTTAGATGCTTTTATCCAAAGCAACTTTCATACTCAATACTGTGGGCAATCCCCACAGGAGCAATTTGGGGTGAAGTCTCTCAGGGACACAATGACATGCTGACTGCAGTGGGGTTTGAACCAAGGCTCTATCCACTGCGCCACACGCCTCCCTAGTCATCAAACACCATAGGGGTGATTTATATAACCTGTCTCACTCTCACTCTCAGCCTGTCTGATCTTAGTGCCGGCTCATACTGTTACACTCTTAATCCAATCCATATCCGATATAGCATATTTAAAAACAACAGAGTTGACCAAAGTGTTGTACCTCAATAAATATATAAAAAGCAGCATAAATACATTTAGACAAAAAACCGATAGGACAAAAAACCAAATGTAAAAGCACGAGACAATGAAACCATACTTTTATCCAAAGCGACTTACATACTCAATACTCTGGACACACAGGAGCACTTTGGGGTGAAGAGTCTCAGGGACACGACGACATGCTGACTCTTTGAACCTGTGACCCCCTGATCCGAACACCAACGCACAACCCACTGCACCACACGCCTCCCTATTCATTATTTAATATATTTACCAAATATATTGGTTTCGAAAATAAGCCACCGTTATTTCATTGGGGTAGTTTAGCTGTCTCTCAGTAGTTGGTGTAGAGTGGTGCAGGAATGAGTCCTAAAACCTGGAAAAGACTTCTGGTTCCCTCGTCTCAAAGTCAATGTTTTTGTTGTTGTGTGTTGGTGGTTGCTGAAATAAGGTCTCTGTTTAAAATAAGCTGAAGACATTTTCACGTTTTGTTCTACGACATAAATACATCAGTAAGAATCCCACTCATGAATGTCTGAATCTTGTATGTATCATAAAAACAGCAAAGTGTCTAAATAGTCTTTCGACTCCACTTCGAGCGATAGAATTACTAACAAAGAACTGCTAACAGAGCACTTATATACTAACAAAGGACTGGCTTATCTAAAGTCAGTTGAGTAGCACTTGAAATGTGTGGCTCTATGAAACCTGATGTTCTTATATGATTCTGTTTTCTTCAAGGTTGTGTCTTCCTAGTTATTTAGTTTGTTTATAACCTAGCGGCTAGTGGTAGCTTTTTATTTCTTACAATTGCATTTACGCTTCATAAATCACAAAGAGGTGTTAAT